TTGATTTAGTCCATGCCTTTTTAACATAAATACTTGAGACTTTATTCTCTAGGACATATTGAAACCCACTTGAGAAATTTTAGGGGGTGATTGTTTATGTTTTGAATAGTAAAAAATCTAGAATTTTTAATTATGGGTAAGTTTAAGAAAAAGTAGTATGGTTAATTGTTAGTGGATATATTAAAATAGTATTTAAAATAAAATAGTTAAAGTTGATTTGATGTAAAAGTAAAAGAAAATGATTGGAAGTGATAGTTAGTTAAAATTAGTTAAAATTATGTGAGTAGATGAATAGTGAATTAAAGTTGATGTGATATGTAATAATGATTAGTTGATGTTATTTAATTATATAATAATATTGGAGATAGTGAGGTTGAGTTAAAGTTGAGTTAAATTTGAATTTGAGTAAAAAAAATTACTGTACAACTTATAAACAATCACCCCCTTAGTTTCAAGTGTGACTTTGTTGCTAATTTCATATAAATACTCTCATTCACAAGGAATTGTGAAAAAAAAATGTTTTTATTATCTGTTTGGAAAAAGTTTCAATGGTGACTATAAGTGAAATATTGTTTGAGAAAATGCTACAATCCTGTTACGGAACTATTTCGTTGGGATTTGTAACCGTTAGAAGCACATTATAACTAACATAGATGTACATCTAACGGTTACGAATTCCAACAGAATGGTCCTGTAACGGAACTGTAGCCTTACCCATTGTTTGGATACATGTGTGACTTTTTGCTAACACATTGATTGGACAAATTATATGTTGACCAGTCCTATTCATTACTCGCTTGGCAACTGTCGCACATCTGTTGACATCCAGCCTCGGGCCGAGTCGATGGTGTCTGTCTTGCCTTCCGCTCGTCAGATTTGGGTTCGACTGAACCCCCCATTTGGTGAAGGTGATGGCTCCTCCGGCGAGGCTTGTTGGATCAACTCCCAAGGCGTCCGTTTACCTCACAATTGAAGACTATGGAAGCTCATATCTGAGCTGAGACTTGTCACCTCGCCATATCTGACTAGCCACTTAAATAAGTTGGAGTTTTTAGTTCTGGGGCTTTCATCTGCAGTTCTCTTTTGTTATTGATTGTGGAGTTTGGCGCGTTGCGGAAATTGGCTCGTGCACTGGTCAGTAGGGATGAGCAAAACCGAAAAATCGCACCGAACCGAGCTATTCGGTACGGTTCGGTTTTCTGTCCGAAAGGGTGCGGTTTTAACCGAACCGCACCAAATGTCATAAAATGTCACTTTTTTTCATTTTTTTAATAAAATATCACCTTAATTTTTATAATTTTACTTACATAACATTAATTAGTGGTTATATTTTTTAATTTCGGTTAATCGAAAAATCGAACTGCACCGAACGGAAATTTTCAGTTCGATGTGGTTCGGTTTTTCCTTCTATAGCGGTGCGGTTCGGTGAAAATAATTTAAAAATTCAGTTTTCAATTTTTTTCGGTGCGGTGCGGTGCGGTTTTTGACCGAACTGCACCGATGCTCACCCCTACTGGTCAGTGTGATTGTAGCGGTGTGCCCCCGAAATGTAGGAGAGGTAGTATTCTATTGATTGTTTAGGTGTGTTGTTTTGTTTTGTTGTGTGTGTGCATGTGGGTGTGTTATTCTCTTTTGTTGGAGTGTGTTAGTCTCTTATGTGGAAGTTTTTATTCTCCACTGGTGGGAGTTTTATTTCTGTGTTTAGTTTGGGTTTGCGGCTCTAGGATGCCGGAGAGCAGTGTACTCCGTCAATGTAGTCCTCCGCCCAGTTTCGGTTTAGTAGCTGATTGATTCAGTTGTTTGGATGTACTAGTCTGTAAAAAATTGTATTTATTAATCATATTCTGTCATTTCAGAAAAAAAAGAAAAAAAAAAAAGATTATATCTGAACAGTTTTGTTATGGAGCCATCGGATGGCTCGGCTTATGGAGCCATCCACAGTTATTCACAAATAGTGTATTGACACGTGTTCTACAATAAATGCACTTTGGACAAGTGTGAATACACTAAGTCATGGATGGCTCCATAAGAAAACCATCCGATGGCTCCATAGAATTTTTGTATATCTGAAATGTTTTCAGTGCTCAATAAACCATTCTATAGGTGGGTTCCTACACAACAGAAGTAAAGATCCTAAAGATAAAATCACTATCTGAAAGAAA